CCAGCCAGCCCTGCTGGCTGGGGAATTTTGGGAGGTGAAGTCCACACATCTTAAAGTTGCCAAGGTTGAAAAAAGCTGTTCTAACCCTTCTTTGTGAACCTAGGGGGGAATCCTAGACCCTTGAGGCCATCCAGCCTAACGTCCTCTTCAGTACAAGGACCCAAATTAATGCATTCCCCACCACAGCTGTCCAGCCTCCATGGAAACACGCCCAACAAAAGGGACCCCACGCCCCTCTGGGTAACTAGTTCTAGGGCCAAACGTCCTGGAAGTTTTTCCTAACATTCAACAGAAATTTGCCTTCTTGTAACTTAAATCCATTGTATTCCCTCCTTGCGCTCTGCAGCAAGAGCAGTCTGGGTCTCCTACGTAAAGGTGCTTCAGAGGTGGTGGAGGCATCTTGGCTGCATCCATCGGCAGGTCCTCGAGGGAGCTCTTTCTTTTGCATCACTGGCTCTTTACTCACTCTGTAACTGCAACTCCTATTTTCCTGAGCCCCCCCAGCTGCTGTATGAGCCTAGAAAAAGGTATCCCCCCCCCCGTTATATTTTCGTAAGGCTCACTTACTCTTCTCCATTGATTAGGATGATCCTCTTGTGCCTTCCTCCAATTTCCTCCAGAAAATTGTCAGCAAGACAAGTCAGGAATTTCCTGGAAAGACCATGCTTGGCAGAGTTTGTCTCCCAACAGATGTCGGAGTAATTAAAGTCTTCCATTGCAACGACTTCATGCCTCTTTGAAAGGTCTGCAGTTTGCTTTTGGAAGGCAGCAACCACCTCTTCTCCTCGGCTGGGCGCGTTAGAGCAGACACTAACCACAAGATTCCTTTTATTCGTTCCTCTGCTTACTTTCACCCAGATGCTCCCTACAGCATTGCCAAGTTCATTCATTAGGTGAACACGGATGCTCAAGCAAAAGAGGAAGTCAGTCCTGCCTTCTCCTGGTTTCAGCATTAAAGGCATTTGCACTGTTGACAACTGAGAATGGGTGAAATCCCTTCAAGTCACAGGTGGGTCACTGGCAACGTGGACAGAATTCTAACTCATCCCCAACCCGGCACCCTTTAGAGGGTTGGGGGCTACAAGTCCCATACTCTTTGGTGTGGTGATAAGAATGGAAGTCCTGGAAAGCATTGGGTTGGGGAAGTTTGGCTGAGTTCTCAGAACCTCTTAACCTGTTTAGTGGATTAAACCATATTCTGGGAATCACACCAGACATTAAACCAGTGTTTTTCAAACTGGTTAACTTTAAGGTGTATAGACTTCAACCAACTGGCTGGGGAATTCTGGGAGTTAAAGTCCATACATCTTAGAGTTGCCAAGTTTGAAAAACACTGCATTAAACCATAGACTGACCAAATGTATGTCACATACCTCTCTCCAGAACAAAATGCCAACATCCAAGGTTAAAACTCACCAAATTTGGATGTTGTTTGCATGGTGCTGTGAGGTCTTTAAATTAACTTGGTTACCTGAGCTGACTATATCCCACCATTTCTATTATTAAAGGTTAAAATCCCTGGACATTCTCCCCACGTTTCCTTGACATGTCCTGTGGCATCAGCAAGGGACACCCCATGAGAAAAAGTGGCCAGGCTTAAGGTAAGCCTACCTTAGCAGGTAACTATGACACCCATCACTGAATAGTGACCATTTTCTATGTACCTCTCCCATCAGCAGAGAAAGAGGAATCTGTGGGTGGTACCACTTGGGAGACCTCATGTGAAAGAAAGCTCTTGGGGAAGGAAAAGCAAGTCAAGACTGCAATTCTTGGGAACCAACCTCAGCAAGGTATGTTCAATTAGCCAATGACTGATTATGTGCCATAAAGTCTTTTTTGACACCTAGTGACTAAAGATCCATGACGATCTGTCCCTAACCTGGTCTTTCAGGTCTTCCAGTGGTGCCCCCATCGCCACTATAACTGAGTCCATCCCCCTTGCTGCTGGTCATCCTCTCCTTCCTTCCTTCCTTCCTTCCTTCCTTCCTTCCTTCCTTCCTTCCTTCCTTCCTTCCTTCCTTTTTTCAACCGCTGTCTCCCCCTCCTTCCACCTTTCCCAGCATCAGAGCCTTCTCCAGAGAGCTGGGTTTTCACAGAATGTGTGCAAAGTAGGATCATTTGAGCCTGGTCATTTGTGCCCCGAGGGAGAACTCTGGGTTGATTTGTTCGACAATCCACTATTTTGTTTTCTTGGCTGTCCATGACATTCTTAGGAGTCTTCTCCAACACCAAAGTTTGAAAGCATCAATATTCTTCCTATCCTACTTCTTCAAAGTCCGTTGAACTGGCCAATATCAGGAGTAAGTTCTAAGTGGAAAGCAAATTGAAGGAGGATCCAGTCCAAATACCAGGAACAGCTTTCCCCAACTTGTTTCTCTATAGCTATTTGGGACTGCATCTCCCAACTCTGAACACATGGATGTGACATATCTTGGAAGGTAACTTTTGGCTTACAGAAAATCCCACCATCAGTCCCAACTGGATGGTTTGCATTACTGTAAGGTGACTCTGTGAGTTCTCAGCCACCTGGGACTGGCGCTAACAACGGTGCTTCAGTGTTTCCTGTTAGGGCCTGGCTGGATAAGCTACTGTAGATCTGCTGAGCAATTTCTGGAGCAAAAAGGAACACATTTAACCTGGCCAGCCATCAACCCAGCGAAATCTTCTACTAGTGGTTCAGGCAACTCAAGAGCATGCTAACTGGGCCAAAACAAGAACAAAACAGCGGCAGTGTTGGGTATCTCATAAACGTTACCCTATTCTTACTAGTCCTTCTCAACTGGACAGGCAGGCCACAGAATACGGCTGAATAGCTGGGTCACTGTAGCTACTCTGTATTGGGGAGGTGCTTTTTCAGACACTCTTCTTTTCCACCTCTTTTTCTTAGAGGACTAACTAGGCAAAATGGGTCAACCAACTTGATTTATGAGGCTCTACAACTCATTAGCCTCCACATTGACCTAGTTAAGTGTGTTGTGGGAGCCAGGCCATGGAATGGAAGAGTCAGGTATGATTACCTATTTTTTTTCCCCCACTCTTGCACCCACGAATGGATCCAATACTCAAAACAACCCACTTGCTAGGATTGGAAGCAATCGCACAAACGTGTGGAAATTGCATTTGCTACACCGCAAAAGCAGCATTTGTTACACATCAGAGCTCAGGGATCAGTTTTTCACTCTTCAGTAGGATGACCACAGCACTGCTGTTGGTGATGGACCCTTTGGTTCTGATACCTATGGAAATAAGGAACACCTCCCAGGCTATCACCATAGCTTTAAATCCAACAATGCCACCTTTAATTTTGCTCCCATTTCTACAAGTGTCAAAAGAAAGGCAGCTGTCACAGAGTTTCCAAAGCCACAGACTCCAAAGAACCTTCTAGCTGTCAAACTCCCAAGGTGAAGGACCCAGACTCAGTTTCATATTCTTTGGGGTTACAAGCAGCTCTGCTGGGAGTTCAGAGAAATGGCAGGGAGAAGGCACTTGGTGGGAACAGTTTGCTCTTGGCGATGGAACTGAGCTGGGCACCAGCCCCGCTGCACAGTTGCTGTGCTTGGGAGGAATTGCAGCACCTGAGCCTGGGAAGAAAAGGTCAGGGAGGTGAACAGACCCAACTTCAGCCAAGCCAACAGTGGAATGCTGCTGGCTGATCTTCAGCTCACCTTCACCTCATTCCTGAAGGTCACCTGGCCTGGTGTTCCATCAACCACCAACCCTTGCCCATAGTGGACAACCAACAACCCTGGTTTACAGCTGAGTGCTAGTAACAGCACTCACCCCATGCACCAGCAGTGTGGGCCCCAGTCCGTGGGTGAGGATCTCGAGCTGCTCCAAGTACCTGGGGTATAAATTGGTGTCTGCGGGGGGACGGGGCAAGTAAAGGAAGCGGACGGTAGGGGTAGAAGTCTGCTGGAGAATCAACTGGTTAACTGCTGTCAGGTACTCATCGGAAACTGAAGTGATGTTGCTAGGGAAGTTGAGGGCATTGTCTGCAGTGTCCTCCTGGCGACTGTGCCAGTGGAGGGCAACCACGTTGTCCCACAGCACGATCTGGATCTCCGCTTGGATGCGCAAGTCCTTCAGAAGCTGCCGCAACTTGTCCTCCTGGCCCTGGGGCCTGGTGCAACTCTCCACACACAGGAAGAGGCGCAAGCGGGCCCGGTGCCACGTCCGAGTCATGGCGAGGACACAGGCCATCTGTAGCAAGAAGAGGCTGCTGGTGTCTACGTAACGGGCACTATCAGGGCGCAGCAGGTTGATGGGCCAGACGTCGATAAGAGGCTGAGCTCGCCACCCAAAGCTTTGAGGCAGTTTGAGTTCCTCAAAGTAGCGGGCCAGAAGGACGTTGCGCAGCATCTTCATGGCATCGCAGATCATGGCCACGTACTCCCAGGAAGAGAGTTGCTTGGGGCCCCTAGAACTCCAGGCAGGAGGGAAATCGTGCCAAATTGCCTCTTCTCCGCTGAAGGCTGTGCTTTGGGACAGATTGTCCTGGGAGGCTGTGTTGTCATAGAACCCCAGAGCTATGGTGTTAGGCCTCATGCCTCCTGGATGAGAAGAAGACAGACAAAGAGCTGGATTGTATTAAATATGAATGTTAAAAGAGGTGTGTGGAGTGGTGGCTGTGGAAGAGTACACCCCAATGCGCACCCAGAGAGTGGGAGTCTAAATTTCTCCAATAACTTTATCCAGTGTATGCAGTTTAGCTCAAAATGGGGGCCACAAAATAGGACAGAGTTTTATATTTCCTTGTCCAGCAATGGCTAGAAGATCTGGAATCACACAATGCGCTTACCTTGGTTCCTGAACTCACCCATTTCAGTGCAAAACCCACTGAGCCATAAGCTAAAAAAAGAGGCAGCGTTTTCATAGCACGGTAAACCATAAAAGACCCCAAGCCTGATCAAAACTAACTAAGCTCAGGAAGTTGGGCCAAAGTTGCCAGTGTGTTTTTAATGGATTTGGGTGAATGGGCTATATGGATATAGACATTCAATCAGACTATTGGTCCACCAGTATGATCTACCTGGACTAGAAGTGGTCCTCTAAGGACTCTTTCTCAGCTCCACCTGCAGCTCTAACAAGCTTCAAACCTTGTACATGCACATGGTGTGCGCTATCAATGAACTATGATTCCTTTCCATAAAGCATATTGATTTCTATTTAGTAACATGCCCCGAAAAGCTGGAACCTTACACTGGAATGGCCTGCTTACTAAGGCAATGATCCATCTACTCTGGCCATGGTCCTCCAAGGCAGGACGAGGGACCTTGGACCTTCTTAACTACAACTCCCATCATCCTTTAACACCAGCCATGCTGCTTGGGGCTCTGGGAGGAGTTCAGCAACAGCTGGAGAGTCCTCAGAGAGGAAATGAAATGTTGAGAATAAACCTGGCAGCTTGGGGGCATAATTAATAGGCACTCTGAGGAATAACTGAGGTTGAGATCTGCCCCACGTGTCTAGAAACCAGCCTGACTTTAACTCCTTAGATGAAAGCGGAATCAGAATGCAGATCCTTCCATTTTTGCATTTTTCTGAATTTTAGGGTGCTTTTTGGCTCAGAACATGAGCAAAATGCATTTAAAAAGACATTGCTTAAATTGAAATTCAGGCAGAAATGTGTAGTTTAGAATATAATTATATGGATGGATGGATGGATGGATGGATGGATGGATGGATGGATGATTTTTTATGGCCAGTGACCACTACAGAAAAAAGAAAGAAAGAAAAAGAAGTGCAACAAATGTAACAAAACTTCCATGTGTATGTAGGTAAGTAAACAAGTTGGTAAATTTAAGATAAATAAAAGTTATAAGTATAAAAACTGTAAATCCTATCAAGCTAATCTAAATAATCAAGCCTACAAAACCTATTATCTATGAAACTTGCCTGCCTTAATTTTCCAAGGCTATAAAAAAGATTAAACCAAGAAAAGTACCAGGACCAGATGGATTTCCAGGTTCTTATTACAAGTGCTTTGAGGATGAACTTTTACAGCCCCTCCAAAATACGACGAACTCCATCCTACAGGCAGGCAAGATGCTAACTTAGCACTAATGCCTAAAGAGGGGCAAGATTTAACTTCAGCTAAAAATTACAGACCCATATCATTACGGAATAATGATTATAAGTTATTTCCAATGATTCCAGCAGATAGACTAAAAATAATTCTATATAAGAGTTTATTCATGAAGATCAATGTGGATTTTTACCTAAAAGACAATTAAAAGATAATGTCACAATGGTTCTGGACATTATGGAATATTTGGAACAGCATAATGAAAAACAAGCCCCATTAACCTTTTTAGATGCAGACAATTTAAACTGGCCTTTTTTGTTTCAAGTTTTAGAAGATACAAATTTTGGAGAGAATTTTATAAAATGGGTAAAATCAATTTATACTTTACAGAAAGCACAAATTATTGTTAATGGAGATTTAACACAATCCTGTGAGATACAAAAGGGAACAAGAAAAGGCTGTTCATTATCCCCCCTTTCGTTTATTTTGGTTCCTGAAGTTTTGAATAGAGCTATAAGGCAAGTTTAGAGGATAATGGGTGTAAAAATTAAAAAAGGAGACTTATAAGCTGAGATTTTGCAGATGGCTTGGTGTTAGTGGTAGAAGATCCCTTAATTAATGAGAAAATTAAAAGAATTTGGTGTACTAGCTGGCTTTAAGATTAATAACCAGAAGACAAAGATATGGACAAAAAAATATGAAGATACAAGATCAAATGGAATTGATGAACAAAACAGGTTTTAAGATTGAAAAAAAGGTAAAATAAATTTGAGTGTTACTCTGACAAATAGGAATTGTATGTTGTTTCAAAATAATTATGTTAAGACTTGGAATGAAATTTAAAAAAGTTATGTGAAGATGGGAAAAAATTATAATTGTCATTGTTGGGGAGAATTTCTGCGATTAAGATGAATGTTTTACCTAGAATGTTATTTTTGTTCCAGACAAAATAACAACTTTTTTGACAACTGATGTATCATTCAAATAATGGCAGAAAGATATATCTAAATTTGTGTGGCAAGGTAAAGAACTGCGAGTTAAATACAAGGTGTCACAAGATGCTAAAGAAAGAGGAGGGTTAGGTTTACCTGGTTTAAAATTATACTTTGAAGCTTGTTGCTTAGTTTGGATGAAAGATTGGGCGATGCTGAGAAATAGAGGGTTATTGGAATGAGAAGAGGATGATTTGAGATTTGGGTGGCATGGCTATTTATGGTATGATAAAGTGAAGGTTAATGTAGGATCTCTACTGAGAATATGGAATAGATATAAATCTAGGTTGTGGAGTCCTTGGGGTTCTCTGAGCTTGGTTCTTTTCTTGCAAACGTTTCATTACCTGGCTAGGTAACATCTTCA